TTATAGAGGAGGAGCTGCTTCTCCAACAGATAGATAATATCAAAGCTTATATATTTGATGCCAAACATAGTGGACGACTGGATGAGGTGGAGGTACTGACAGAGAACTTAAAGGAACTGAAGCACACATTAGCAAAGCAGAAGGAGAAATCCAACTGCTGAAGCAGCAATAGGGCTGTGTAATAATTCAATCTGCTGTTAAATATGGGAAGGTAAGGCAGATACTTATAGGCAGGAGTACAGATCACAAGAGGGAAGCGGGAGAATCCTGACCTTAAAGCACTTTCATTTAGGCATTGCCACTACTACACAGTCTTGAAGAAAGAATGTCTGAGGTATGCTGCTGGTCTCAAAAGCTTATACTAAGGAAATTTAAAACAGCTAACTGGTCTTACTGAATGCTTATTTTTGGTCAAAGAGGTTAAGTGCTAATAGGGAACTATGATTTGGAAATGATTGGAATGTTGGTTTGCCTTCTTTCCCCCCTTTCTGTTGTAGTGTTGGCCTTTCCTCTGTTGATGACCCAGGGTAGCTGAATTGCTGATGGTGTTCTGGGAAAGTGCAACTAAAAGGCTGCTGTGATTCTCCAATGTGCCGAATGTACAGGCTTGCAGATCAAGCTTGTGCAATGCTAATAAGTACATAAAAGGGATTTTAAGACTGAGAAGAACTTTTTGACTGATCTTAATAGGAGTAACTTTTTAATGTGTGCATAAAGATGCCCAAGGAAAATTTGGGTGCTGTCTTTTCATCACTTCTGGTTTCCCCTTTGCTCTAAGCACCATGTCATAGTGCTATGCTGGCTTCAGACCTGCTCTCTAGGGAGCAAGTGTCTGCTCATTTCCAGGGAAAGAAGCATTAGGCCAGCACCACTTCAAACTATAGTATATAAAGGGTGACCCTCCAATTCCTAATTATATTATGGAATCTATACATTCCTTTCAATCCTCTGGGTGACAGAATGATCATGTTTGTTGTATTTATGAGACTGGAACCCTTTTTTTTTAGCATTCAAGGAACAAAAGATCTTTTTTGTAATGGAAAACTGAGGTGCCACTGAACTGGAATTCCATGAAAGCTAGGAGATAAAAGTGTGGCTGCAATAGTACCAAATGACAATTCTCTTTCATGTTAATTCCCCTCAGGAATTTTTATGAGAATCAGGCATGTCTGTCTTTAATAAGGAACTTCAGATTGAAGACCTCTTGTCATCCTGTGGCCTAGGGGATGACCAGGTGACAGCCAGCACCTGTGCTGCTGGAGGGCTTACAGCTGGACAAATGCAGGGTCACCTCAGGACTAGGTCAGCCTCTGTCTTTGAGAAAGATGGAGTTTGAGCTGCTTTGATTTTTGTCTTTGAAAGGCACAGGTCCATCCATCATCAGGAATCAGTGTATGTAGGGGTGGGGAGGAGGAGTCAGTCTAAAGGGTTTCTTTATTTAAAGCTGAAATAGAGAAAAATCAGGCAGATCACACTGTACAGCACTAATAGCAATGGGCTTACTCAGAAGTGTGAAGTTCTCTGCAATGGGACGTTGTCTTTTAACTATGTCTCTGATACTGGCGTAGCTGTAACCCAAGCACTGCATGAGATTTGAGAGACACAGATGATTCTGCTACCTAAAGAGCAAGAACTCTGGTTTTATTTTGCTGTAAATAAGTGGAGGTAGGGACTTGTGGAACTGTTGTTTAAAAAGCCCAAACCACCTATATCCTCACTTAATAGCACTGGTAAGGGATCAAAATAGAATAGCCAGTCAAGGACAGCTGATGTTATCTCTGGTGTAGCCTGAATCTGGAGTTGAAAGGTGGACGGAACAGGTTGGTTTAAGACCATGAAGTTTTTATGCTGATGTTTTATTAGAGCTGATTGAGTCCATGAGTGTTATTTTGCACCAAGTGCAAAAAAGAACAGAGAATTCTGAAAGGTCTTAAAACGAACAGAACTCATGTGCTTGGCACCAGATTTATGAAGGCAGCAAAAGCTGTTGATAAATAAACGTAATCCCTGGAATTGTATAGTATAAGGCAGTTATTGAGGACAGACTTGTTTGCTAGTCAGGAGGATTGCTCCCTGCACTCTAACCTAATGCTTTTTTTGATATCAACATGAAAAAATGTTTCGGTGGCTTCTGCTTTCACATTTAAAAGCTACTTTTTTCCTTGTTGCAACTATCCTGCCTTGTTTGTATTTTCTGTCTAATACACTAATAACTATTCTTATTGTACATGTAATATAATATTTTTACAAGCAGATAACAGACTAGCATACCTCATGATCTTTGTCAGTGTTAAATGTGATAGACTAGATAGCTGATACTAAACTCATCTCCACAATGCAGACCTTTGCTGGTGTTGGGACTGCTGTGAGGCTTGCAAGGCACAAGGGAATGAAGATGTCTTAAGCATAAAGCTCAATAAATAACTAGCATTGAGTTTTGTTACAGCTGCATGCACTACTCTGTATGGAAACTTTGTAAACAGATGAAATAAAACAACATGTTTATTTTGTGCTGTTTGTCCTTGACAGTTTGTACAGGATGCCTGAATCGGTGTGAAATTTTGTACTCGAGCATGAGTTCCAAAATGCACAGATAAGCCTGATGTAAAGGTCTGTGCAATAGAGTGCAGTCTGTCACGTTTATACAAATTACAGGTATTCTGTATTGTTTGGTGAGGCAGAAGCTGTGATGATTTAGAAGGGTTTTTTGACTATGTGCAGGGAGGATGTTTGAGGTAGGAGTTATATAGCAGCACAGGACTTTGAAGCACAATGGACTTGCTGGCTGGGATTTGCTGGAAGTTGATAATTCAAGACAGTTCTCCTTTGTATGGACTGTTTAGGAAATTATGGAATTCTGTGCTGCTTCTAAGATAAATTAATATGTTAGTCTAGCCTCTCTGTCCCAAAGAAAACACAATATTGGTTTTGCCATAATGGTTTAATCGTTTACCTGCAGGCATGAGTAGGAAATAAGGCTCCAAGGAATTCCATTTTCCACTGTTGACTAATACTTTGTAAAATTGGCACCAAAAAAGCTGTGTTTTTAACTTTTATTTATTTTTCACTTGAATTATTCTAGTTGTAGCTGCAAGATTTATGAGGCAGGGTTGTCTGTATTGAATGAACTTGCTTGTTCCTGTTTCCAGGAACTGTGAGCTCTTGTGTCTCACTGAAGCACCGTCATCATCCAGCCCTGAGGAAAAACAGCTGCGTGACTCGTCAGGCTGATGCTTCATTTTTCATTGCAGCTTTGTATTTTCCCCTCATCTCTTTGGGCAGTGGCACAAAAGCAGGGCAGGGAACTTGGCCTTCAATCTCACACATGCATTCTCGCAGATGATACTTCTTGGGCCCAAAAGTTGCTGGATGTGATAGTTTTTTCCTTTCTCTTTCCTCTTTTTCAAGCGTTTCTCTGGAAAAGAGATCTGTTTGTTACTATCAGAAGCCTGAACCACAGCATTCCTCTCCTTTCCCTGGACCCAGTTTACCAGAAAGATGGATTTACAGTTCTTAGCTTGTGAACTTTACCTAGCTCGTGTCAATTTTGTCTGGGAATAGTAGTATTTCCTTCTGTATTCCTGACAAAAGTTTGCATGCGTTATATTCTGTATGCTGGACGGTACATTACCTTATTACGTTACTTACTTGCTTTTCCCCAGGATTTTTTTAATGTGCTCTGTTATCTCTTTGTTGGTTTTATCTTCCACGTCAACCAAAACTTGTTCTCCATTGTCTGTCAAGAAAAATTCATAATCCTGTATTAAATAGTACCACATCCCTCCTGCACGCTGTTCAGAGAGAATGTAAACACACAACAGCGAGATCTGCGGCCCTGCTGCAGGTAATGTAGGATGCAAGGTTTAAGTGGAAAAGCGAAATCTCCTCGAGGGCGATTCTAGGGGAGCTGCCGAGGGGTAAAGCCGCTTTTCCCAACAAGCAGCTCCTTTCCCCGCCGAGTCCGAACGACACGATCGCGGCTGCGACGCGGCTGCTCCGCAGCTCCCGCGGCCCGGGCGGGACCTACCCAGGTAGAACCGGAGGAAGGGCGAGGGGGTCATGTTCTTGAACAGCATGATCTGCAGCCAGGGGTTCTTGTACTGGATCTGCGGAATGTTGAAAAACACGAACTTTCTGGAAAGGAGGAGAAAAGCACGCAGGAGCTGGCGCGGGGTCTCAGGAGGACGCGGCCCACGCAAGCCCCGGTGTCTCTGCAGGGGCCGCCCGCGCTCACCTCGTGCCCCGCGCTCACCTCGCGCCCTCGCTCAGCTCTCCCGCTGAGTTGTAGTTCACGGTCATCACCTTCACCGCGCTCTTGAACACGACATCGCCCTGGTTGAGGTAGCGCAGGGTCCGCCGGATCGGGAACCGGCCCTTCATGGGCATCGCGGCGGCGGCCGGAAAAGGCGGGAGTGGCCCCGCGCGCCCCCTGGCGGGCGGCGCCCTCAGCGAGGGCCGGGTCTGGGGCCGCTTCCGGGTCTGGATCCGGTTCCGGGCCTGGGTTCGGGTCGGGGACCAGGGCCGGGTTCGGGTCGGGACGGGGGTCGGGGACTGGGACCGGGACTGGGGCCGGGTCGGGGACCGGGACTGGGACAGGGGCCGGGCCGGTGTCAGCGTCGGCACTGGCGGAGCCTCAGGGGCTGCGGTGGCGCCCGCCCGGGCCCCGGCGGTACCTGCGCTCTGTCCGCGCACCTGCCAGGGCCGGGTGCCCTGTGCACATCAGCTACAGGTTTGTGGCTACTAAAAACTTCTCTGTTCAAGATGAAGTAAAACTTTAGGAAAAGCCTCCTCTCCTCCTAGAGCAGCTCCCTGGAGTCAGTAAAGTTCATGGGATTTCTCTTCTGTATCAGACCCGGTTAAATCTCTCACAAGATAATCACGGTAGTGAAGGCAAAATGCTGTTTCTCCCTAAAAGACAGTAAATTATGTATTTGGCTTAGACACCTCCTGTTTAAGAGGAAATAGTGAACTTAAAAATAAAACTCATGAATGCAGTTATGTGTGTAATTCACTTTAATGGTATAAACCTCATTTAGCTAGTATTAACCACAACAATATAATGCCACATTTAAACAGCATTTAATAAAATGCATAAGCTAAATCATGCACTGTAATACTCTATATACAAACACAACAATGCAAATTCCTCTTTGTGATTGAATACATTGATTAGATATAAAATTCAGATTAAAAAAAACCATGCTATTATTTTTAAATGCTCTCACACACAACAATGCTGATTTCACAGAAGAAGCTGTGAGAAATTAACAACTTTTGCAAAGTTTTTAACTTGAAATAAAAATAACATAAACATTAGTTTTCTAAGTTATAATGAACAGAGATATCCAGAAAATATCCCAAGGAATTAAAAGTAGATGCTTCCTTTTATAAAAATTTGCTTTTTGTAGGAGCTCAGCACTCCCTGGTGTGCCAAACAGTTAATGTGCAGTTTTCAGCCAGGAAACTAAACACTGGCTTGCAATGTACTTCAGAGTACAGAATAATTATTAAAAAATTCCAACATTTAACATTGATTCCATATATGAAAAATTTAACACATCCAGTCTGTAGGTAGAATGTTTTCTTCTTAAAGACTATTCTTTTTGTTTGAAATTTACTCAGTCCTACTTTTAACCTACAATCATCAAAAATATCTTTAAATGGACCCGTGCTTTATTATCACAGAGCCTTTGTTGCCACTACATTTGAGAACATTTCATCTTTCAGAATACAAACAATTCAAATGTGGATATAAAACAACTTGACAATTCTAAAATATGGGTTTTTTCCCAAATTCAAAATTGTTTTTTTTAACAGAATTAATCTTGGTTAATACCCCAATTAGCTTCCTAATCTTTAAAACTGTTCCTGCAGTACAACATTAACAGACATTCAGGTTTCCATTCACCTTTAAAGAGGAAAGCAAGAGTTCAAACAGCACCAATTGTCCAGACCAATGAAGGATCACCTGTCACAGGAATTCCTGCCATTAATTTAAATATTTTTCCTGCTGAAAATCGCAAAAATTAAGTTTTGAAACGTTACCCTTTTTTTTCTAAATTTGAAACAAAAACTTACAAACATTTATTGCCAATACAGAAGAGAATGTTCTTAACATTTTCCACAGCAAAGACCTTTCAAGCACAAAGCCTGACTCAGACTTGTGGTTCACTTTATAAAATATTGTGAGCATGCAAGAAGCTCCCATTATTTTGACTGATGTCTGCTTATCTGCCTAAACATACACAAGTCTTTGCCACATGGAGTACAGAAAGTAGAAATAAATGCCCAGAAAAGTCTGCTTCACCTTTTTAATATGACAAAACCAAGACTTGCTGAACTCCCTACATGGTCTATGAAATGTTTTTTTAAAACCCCATAGTTATTATATTTACTTTACAGAAAGCTCCCTTTGTAACTTCATCAGAAGAGAAAAAGAATGTGAACTATTTATATTTTGATAATGTAAATGTTTAAGTCCTCCTTATGAATAATAAACTGTCTTACTGCACAACTCATTTCATAACTGTGTGCTCAGGCCCCACATGGACAGTGGGAAGGTCACATGCAGTGCAGGAGCTGAGCAGATTCCAGGCCGAGCAAAGGAAAGAACAAGGAAATGGACGTTACTCGGACAATTAAATCAAGCTTTGTTCAGCTTAAGCTGGAAAATAAAGAGAATAGCTTTGGAAAGTGAGTATACAATTGAAATTCATTGTCAAAATCCTGAAAAAGTTTTAGTGCTTGCTAAGCAATAAGCTACCTGCAATGTCCCTCCTGTTTAATTACCACTGTCCCAGAGCTGCTGTTCCACTGGACAGAGCACTGAGTCTGTATTTAACTCACATGTGATCACTATGGCAATATGAATATTGATTTGTTAAACAGCATTCATTGTCTCCTGTTCTGTGTGCTACAGTTCAACAATAAAGGGAAAGTTGGTTTGGTTTCAATTTGCCACTGCCAAAGGCTTAAAAAGTATCAATCTTTTACCAAGCTTCACTGCAAAATGCAACTTTACTAGAGAGTATCTCAGGAGGCTGAAAGAGAATGAGTACAGACTGAAAGCAGGGAAGTATTTTCTATAACTGTAGTTATTTGTTAATTGTTTTTAACAGCCATTATATGCTCAATTAACTATTCGCTCAGCAACTTCTACAGGTCAAATGAGGAAAGGTGAAGGGAGTAATGTAAAAGCCAGAAAATTCATGAAATACATTTGTCAGTTCTGAACAGAAAATATTTAATTCAGACTGGCTTAGAAAAAAATCTGCAAAGCTCTGAAATTCAGGAGGATTCATCTGCTTAGGTGATGATAAGTTTAGTTTGGGCTAAGAAATGCAAACAAGGAAGCTCTGGATTAGCAAGTGAACAAAAAGCTTTAGCACATAGAATGGATGAATAGTGGCTCCATGTCTGTACATATATACACACAGTAGGGGTTTTCTATACACTGTACAGAATATATTCAGGCAGAGGTATAAACATATACATTCATACACACATACATACAGCTATGTACATATGCATCAGCTGCTCGAGTGAGTTTTACACCTGAACATGCAGAAATGCACAATGGTGGGAGGCACAAAATAAAAACAGGTACAACTCTATGAAACCCTTTAAAAAGAAAGGAGACAGGCATGAATTTAACAATAATAAGCCATTTTCAAAGCACTCGTAACTCAGAGGATTGAACAGGCTGTGGGAATTATAGAACACTATGACAGTATTACCTGTGATGAACTTAGTATGACTTCACCACAAAAAACTCAGTAATTAGGTATTTCTAGTCTCTGATGTTTTCCAAGTCCAATATATTTAGAGCATCTAAAGTTTACAAAAAAATTTTACTTTAACTTGCAACCTCAGTATAAATAAAGCTTTAAGTTTTTTCAAAAATAATTCCCACTATAATGTTGATAACATTGATTGCAACTGAAGTAGGGTTGTAGCATTATCTAACAAGAGGGGTTAATGACATTTTTCATCAAACAATAAACCTGAACTTAGTTCAGGAATATTTACTATTAAAACGACTCAGCAACTTCAGAATTAAGAGGTGCAAAAAGTAAATGTTTTCATTTTCTTCCCTTTGCCGTGCCCTCTTAGTAACTTTTTTCATATAAAGCTGTTTTTTAAACTAATTTTCTGTCACCCAAGGTCGAGCAGATGCTGGCAATCTGTCCTCTGCTCCTCCCTCTCCTCCCTAGGGTGACCATGGCCTCAGCAGGACTGCAGCTGTTTCGTGCTGCTCTCACAGCTGGCCCACACTCATCACCAGAGCCAACCACTGCAAAAGCTCTTCTGTGGCTGGGTGGGTCAGTGTGGCAAAACCCTGAGACAGATGGGAACCTACCTGTGTTTGCTGGCATTTCTGCTTTTTCTCCTAGGGACAAGAGTAGGCGAAAAAAACCCCAACCTACCCTGGTTTTGCACTCTCAAGAGTAACTGGAGGGGAAGAGAGGGATTTCAAGCAGAAAAATCAACTTTTTTTTTTCTTTTCAGGATATCAGCCAGTAGGTATCTGCTGGTACACCTGTGCATGTCTGACTGACTTGCCAGTTCCACTGCTCACAGCACTTGATTCCAACAGGGCCCTACCTTGTGCTGTTAGTGCAGGAAGCTGCTTTGGCACTGCTTGGGCAGTATCCTCAGCACAGTAATTCCCACTTCCATCTTCCTGGCTAAACTGCATTCCCAATACCATTTGCTACTCATGCTATTTGGTGCCTTTTTTTTTTTTTAATTATCTCTTACTAGTTAAACAGCAGGTGATCCTAATTACTGTCTTAATTTTAATAGGTAAGAAAATCTACTGACATCTGCAATATCCCAGCTGAAATCATTCAGGAATCTGTGAGTCCTGTGTACTATATGCAACAAGAAAAAACCACAAAAGTGTTTTACAGTCTCTGTCAAAGGAGAAACAAAAGTCAGGAAACTGCTTTCACCCAGAAGCTTCAGCCCTGACTTGGTTTCTCTGTCACAGCCTCAGAACGTGCCTTTGCCAAAGGGGGCTGGAATGGCAATGCAGAACCAGCTGGATTCTGCAGAGACCTTGAGTCAGAGCTCTCCACTGGAGCCACTGTGGCTGCCTGGGGGGTCAAGGGCTTCAGAAGATGGTAAAAGGAGGGTTGGTAAATGACATCACATGGAGACCAACAGTAGTTTCTTGCCCCAGAGTGCTCTGAAAACCAGGCCTCTCTAATAATCTAACATTTTAAGGCAGCTAAAACAAAGGCTTGCATGATCCCTTAGAAGGATCTCTCCCTGAAGATAATTTTTTCCTCTTCTACCAGTTTCATGCCAGAGTAACTCCACTGAAATCAAAAGCATTGCAGCTTTTGTAAATTGTAAATAGGGAGAGAAAGAGGACTTTTACACATGGTGTTAGTTGTGTGTCTCTCTAGTCCAATATAAGTAAATAAAGGGAAGAAAAGTATTATACCTTCTTGCACTTGTCACAAATGCAATGAAAATCAGTAGTATAAAGCTAGCCCAAAATGCTTTTTACCTACAAGATGCAAATCCAGTTCCTTCTCATAAGAGTTGGACAACAAATGAAGCACACAGACAACGGACATTATTGCCTCATTATCATTCCCTGAATGTCCCAGTTTCAGTGAGCACAGAATTTTAACATTTGTTTGAATGAATTATGACTAATATACACATTTGCTCAAGTTCAGATAAATCTAATCAGATAGTTTATCACTGTATTTCTAACGAGTTAAAATATTTTCATTTCAAGAGTTGCAGAAACAGGACCTCAAAAATTCTGGAGAAAGTAAATTTTAGGCACTAAGTAGAGCTTCAGTGAGATGAACTTTTCTTAGAATCACTTTGCAGCTGCGATCCTTTGACTCCAAGTTTCACAAATACAAGTTTGGCATTTAAATTTGGCCTTTAGGAAAACAATATTTAATAATCAAGAAAGTTTTTCAATAATTGTTACAATAATAAAAAAACTCTCCTGTCCCATATCCATAAGGAAATGTTTGCCCTTTCAAAGGAAAAACAAAATAAAACTAATTTAAAAGTAAAGCTACTAAGATTAGCCTGTTACCATCTTCCAGTCATTGCAGAAGGGATGAAACAAAGCTCAGAAATTACAGAACTACATCAGCCTTGTAGTATTTTGTGCAGAAACAGTGTAAAACTTGGCTGCAGCCATACTGTGTGCACTGTTCTACCTTCCTTATGTCAGAGTAGCCTAAAAGTCCAGTCATCAGAAGAGGCTGAAAATAATGTTAAAGGTTAATACATAGAGTTCAAATGACTTTCTGAGGCTCATTTTCCTTAGATGTGCCTTTTCTATTGCTACCAAACAATGCCTATACTGTTGGCAGAAAGCATTCCTTCATCAGTTCTGTGCCTCTTGAAGATCTATCTTCTGATGGATGTACAAGGAAAAGAAAAAGATTTCTCTGAGCAAGCTAAAGTAGCTCCACTGCTACGTGACACCCAGATCACCACTAGATTAGCAGCTCCACTGCTTGATGCACCACCAGGTCCTGCTGCCACCAAGAGGGATTGTGACAGGCTGAAGAAATGGGCTGGCAGGAACCTCAGGAAGATCAAAGAGGGGAAGCACAAAGTCCTGTCTCTGGTGAGGAACAAGCCCAGGCACCCACATACGCTGGAAAGCAGGTCAGCAGAAAAGGACCTGCAGGTCCCAGGGGACACCAACTCAACATGAGTCAGGAACACTCCCTTGCTCTGCTGAAGGCTAATGGTGTCCTGGGCTGCATCAGACAAAACATCACCAGCAGGCTGAGGGAGGGGATCCTCCCCCTCTACTCAGTACTGGAGTGCTGTGTCTGTACAGGAGAGACAGGGACATACTGCAGAGAGTTCAAAAAAATGATGATAAGGGACTGGAGCATCTCTCCCATGAGGAAAGGCTGAGAACGCTGGGACTGTTCAATCTGGAGAAGGCTCAGGGAGGATCTCATCTATGTGTACAAGTACCTGGAGGGTACAAAGAAGACGGAGCCAGGCTCTTCTCAGGGGTGCCCAGTGACAGGACCAGAGGCAGTGGCCACAAACTGAAACACAGGAGGTTCACCCAGGGAGGTCGTGGAGTCTCCAGCCTTGGAAATGTTCAAAGGACAGCTGGACACAGTCCTTGCCAACAGGTGCTACATAGCAGTAGCACCTGAGCAGAGTGGGTGGACCAGATGACCTTCAGAGATCCCTTCCAACCTCAACCAGTTTGTGGTTAAACTTGAAACTGAGTGCAAAGCAGCCCTACTGCACTGGAGAAGATGGTTTTTAATTTTGTATAGCAGTGTTTTAAGTGTATCTCCATCAGATGCCAAATTTTTGCCTCACTTTTACAACAGCCCTTAACCAGAATGTGAGAAGTCGTCTTAGGTTACTCATCACAACTATCCTTTTATTTATAGCTAATATTCAAATATACAAAATGTTTTAGATTCTGAATATTTCTTCAGCCCTAGGAACTTGCCATCATAGTCCAAATTTCTACAATCAAAACTGTTAGTCTTGGAACCAAAATAGTGTATAGTTAGAAAAAGCCCTTTTTGTTAATGGCATCAGGACTAACTAGCTTGGTTCTGACTACTGAAAGTCAGCAAGTCATGCTGATGATGCTATAGAAAGAGAGACTAGGTGGTAGTATTCAAATCTTAATTATGGAACTGCTTAATTTCATCTATTAAAATGCATGCACAATAAATAGAACCTAACTATTATTGCATGGTTGTTACTCAATTTACAAAAATTAATATTTTATCCCTAACAAGCAGGGAACTATTTGCAGAGCAAGTGACTACCAGAGTTTGACCAAGGAGATCACTATGTGGACTTGCATTTGTGGGGAGTGTAGTTTATTTGTAAACAGAGCTGCATGATACTTACCATTTTGGTTTACAAATGTAATGCAAGGCATATATTTTAAATTTGATTTCATGTGATCCCTCTGTTCCCCCCAAAATTGTAATGCCTTTATTTTGTTTACTGAACTGTTATGATCACAGCACAAGTAATAAAAATTAGGAAAGTATTTTTGTATAGAAAATGGGGTCCTTTTACTTGAAAATTTGAAGTTGAAATGATGTTTGCAAAGAAAAAGCCATCTGGTGTGTGTTTAGATTTAAAAACAAATATTACAATGGCTAGTTTTTGTGCTAAGGAATATTTCATTTGCCATTAACAATGCTTACTTATCTGCTTAAATGATTTTTATGAAATACTGAAAGGAAATCAAACTCCATAATCTCTTTTTTGCAATTAAAAATATCACAATAGTTCAATGCATTCTGCTTTTAGAACAATGACATAACTGAATAAAATTTTAAATTTTAACAAAAAACGGCCCCAACTCTTTCCAAGGCAAGTACTGCTCCTGATGTTAATATCACCATTGATTTTTAAGCTGCGTACCCTTAACAAAGGGACTGTGCATCAGAAGTTCTGACACAATCCCACCAGCAGGGACACTACAATCAAATGGTTGGTACTCAATTCTTCAGTCCAGCTAACTTCACATACAGAGGGCAGATCTTCCATCACATTAATAACATGACAATTTCATTTGCTATAGCAAAAGCCAGGAGAAATAAAAGTGCAATATTACAAATCTCTGCATGTATATTGGACTATTTGTAACACCCTTCTGAGAAGACTCTGAATGCACTAACAATGGTAACTGTAAAAGACATTAATGCATCCAGAAGCTAAAATTAAATAGCTTTCTGTTCCACAGTGAGTGCTACAAATGTGAGCCCCCTAAAGAGCATGAAGTATACCAGGTCAGGACTTTTTATTACTTCAGAAGCCTCACCTAGAGCTGCTTAAGATCTTTTAGCTCCAATTCAGACTCTGAAAAGACACAAACACCAACCCGGTTGATGTTTCTAAATAAATATGAGTAACAGAAGAAAAACAAAAGTGCTGAACATATAATCAGATTTTTGTCACATAAAACTACAAAAGTAAAAATGCCTCTACAATACAAATAATTAAAATAATTGATGAATCTAATGAGCCAGGATCAGATGAAGGTATTAATTGCCATGACATTTTTTAAAAAACTTTGATTGTTTAAAATTGAATTCCATAATAATAAATTATACTAAAATGAAAGCTATGCTAGCAGCTAATGACCAATACTAGAAAACATGTTGATGGCTTATCACTTGAGACAATTAAAAAGTAGCCCATTTTATAACTCCATGATGTATCAATCATTAACTGCAATCGTACATGACTGAGAGTAAATCCTAACTATGTTTTGGTTTCACACTGAGTCACAGGAAGGTCGAGAGCACTGCAAAACCGGGAGTGCTCAGTGAGGGAGGGAGAGGGAGGTGGGGAGTTTAATAAAGTGAGAGAGCTTTGTAATATACTCTTGCTGACAGCCACAGGTTCTACACATTTCAGGTTTTAAATTGTACCTGTGGCTGGATGATGAAGGTGTTCAGGAGTATAGAGAGAAGTAGTAAATTTGGAAATACAAAGAGCATACTCAAAAAGCATCACACAGCTCTACTTGAAAATTATTGTTCTTCCAGTTAATGACTGATTTTCCCCACAGTCAAAAGGTTTGATTTTAGAATAACGTGTCATGATTGTGTTGGTCTGAATACACACTTTAAGGAACCTGAATATTTCATCATTACCATGGCAAGAAACACTTTTTTTTCCTCCTAGTGTGGGGTAATTCTTGTAGTACATAATAGTTACTATGACTGCATTGTACTGAATTACAACTGCACTAATTTAACAGTGTATAGTTTCATATAATGTGGATGTCTGATTTAAGAATCCACATTAATATTTCATGCATAACATAAGAGCAAGTGACTTTTTGCAGATAAATGATTGTCTCCTACAGCATTCTACATTTTCACAAAAATCACTGGCATTTTGACTAAGGACATAAGCATTTTTTTCATTTTCCATACTCATAAGCAGGATGTTGATGATGCTGTCACTTTGACAAGAAGTGATTACAAAGTGCTAGTATTATACCCTGGCATTTACTAGACATTAATTCCAAGGATATTTTTAAATATATACATACTGTTCTTTTTACTTTTAAAGTAATTTTATTACTAATCTCTGATATTATAAAACTCTTTTTAACCACTGATAATTTCTAAATACAAAGCATGTGAAAAGTATGTTCAGTAATCTATAGCCTTTTAAATGAAAGGCAGCAAAAATATTCCTTGTGGCAGAAAAGGTCCTATAGCAGGTCTTTTAGTAGCTGCTTAAATTTTGTCAACATCAGGAAAGAGACAAGGAGAAATCTGTTCAGGAAACTGATAACAAGTTGGAATTATCTGCACAAACCAAAATGCTATTCTTTTAACTTCATAATTATATGGTTTTTATGAAAATTACTTCGATCCACCGAATTGAATTGTTCCCACTATGGAGATGTGCCAGTTATTTGACCATTATATTCTGCTGTTTCCATTTTGAGAATGTAGGGGATTATGCTGTCAATGGGAACATTTCCAATGAGACCAGTAAAAAACAGTTCCTCGGTAATGCTAGAGCTCATCAGCCTAAGTGCTGGCAGGCGAACTAGGATCCGGGCTAGCCTGAAAAAGAAGTTCAGTGGATTATAAATACATACAAAACCAGCTTAAGATACTTTGTGGCTAAAGACCTGGATCTGCTTTTATTATTACCTTAACTCATAAACGGGAGTAAAGAAGCAATTAAAGGTAATTGGCTGCCACAAAAAAGTGGCCACCTTTCTATCCTGCGAGTGAAATGAAAAGCCACCAAGTAGTTTTGTGGTTTGCCAATGAAAGAGACATGTTAATGCCCTTTGTAGGCAGAACATGTATGTAAAAACACACAGTTCTCTTGGCCTGCTTTGGAAATTCCCAACTCTGGAAGGACAAGGCTGACACTAATAATATTCATATTGATTAGTGCGAACATTTGCACAATTTTAAGAGTAAAATGCTTAATTAAAATTTCAACCATAAACAGCATAGTACTCAGTTGCCTAGCAACTTCATGCCAAACCAGAGAGCAAGAACAGGACTGAATATATACAAAAGGAAAAAAGAGAACCGGGTTCTAATGAGAAAAGGAATTTGGGGTGATGTGCTGTTAAGCACACACATATTGCCAAATGCTGTGGGGTTTTATTTACCAGGATGTTAACAGATACCCAATATAACAAAGTGATTGTATTGAGTTGCTGGACTTTCCATGCACATGAAATTAAGGACAATGATGAAAGCATTTTGCTGTAATTTATATGGCAGATGTACATCATGAATGCCAAATCAAATAAATTTTCTGAACGAGAACCATGTAATAGCAAACCTTAGGTAGCACTGACCACAGGTGCTCTGGAAAATGCTTGAATATCTATGGACAAAATACATAAGGTCCATTCTGCTAATATACCATATCTTGTAAACTTTGGGGCAAAACTGAAAAAACATTCAAGCTATGCTGTTGATTCTGTGAAACTTATAACACTTGTCTTCTATCTCAATTTGTGCCAGTATTCAGTTGCTCAGAAATAATCAGATTTGTTCTCTACACTTGTCTATGGGTGAGCATGGAGAAATAGAGATTACTGCTTGTGGAATGTAACTCTGATTTTCTTCCCTGAGCCACTATTAAGAGAAGTAAGTCTATGGAACAAATTCTGTATTTATTTTTATGGCAAATATCCAGCTCTCACAAATTAAAACAGAATGACTGAATTGTACACAGCAGAATGTGGGATTTGAGGATATTTCTGAGGTAGAGAATCCCATCTTCACTGCACCACACAATGTTAACTCTGTAAGATCAGTGCAGAAACCAGAGAAGCTCTCTTCTTTACAGACAGGTTTGGGTTTTTTTCTTTTTTTTTCATTACATCACCCTCAGACCTTGCCTAAATATATGGGATTTCTTCTTTAGATGAGGATACCTTTCAGAGGATACACTGTTAGACAGAAGTTAGAATTTGCCTGGTAATGCAAAGAATCATTGTGTTGATGAATTTTGAAACAGTTTTGATGGAGATTGTTAGAAAATAGGATATTCATTTCTAGCAAATAAGAAACAGAAACAATTGAGGGGAGAAAAAAACAACCTAGATAATTTCAAAGATAAGGCCTTTGAAATTAATAAAAAAAAAAGAAGCTAAAGGAGAAAATAAGTAGGATGTGGGAATTTCTAACAAACAGAAGCGTAAGAGTTGGTTACTGTTCCCTGTCACATGTAATCCTTGTTTTTCCAAGATCTATAAACTGATAGTTTTAACACTTCTCTGCATATGTAACTTGAAAAACATTTAAAGGATGATAATCATGTTTTAGTCATCAAAGAGGCTTTGAGATAATAACTCAAAAAACAAGGCAGCATGAACTAAAGTTTGAGTCAGCTGAAGCAGTTGTTCTCAAGACTTCTTATAAAGTCTGTTTACTTTTCTAAACATGACAACGAGGCTCAAAGAAACCCCTCAAAACCCAAGAAAATACTCTTAAATTAAATTTACATGGAAGAAGCAAGATAGCTGTTCTTGCTTCTACGTATCTTTAAACAAACTTTTTGCTTAACCAAAACCTGCTTGCTTTTATGAATGAGATTCTAGTTCTTTTTCATCAACAGTCAATAAAACCCCAGATGTCAAAGAGGAAATTTTTTTACATCAATGATGTTATTTGGTACTTTTGTTAGCTACAGCCCACAACGTTACTTTGGATACTATAGACAATAAATACCTATAAGTATCTTCTGGATAGGTTTTTTGTACATAGTCCTGCAATTCCATCTGTGCCTTCTCCTGGAATTTTTCTATTTGGGTTGAACTGGTCAGACCAGGATGATCTAAAGAAACAAAACATTTCTGTATGTCGATTGGTTCCCTATACATTGTGAAAGAGATGTATTTATAAGATTCTCACATTTAATTTCAATGAAATATTTCTCTGGTATTGTGATGTTTAACATGTCAGCTGTATAAAGGAAACCACTCAGTAGAACATTTGCTTCTTGGCTTCAGAATTAGCTTGCTCACTTTTCTCTCCATAGTTGTGTGTTATTCACAAGAAAGTGGACAAAGATTATGCCTGTAGGTATGTACCAGGCAATGATACTCCGAGCTTATGTTTCTAACCTTGTTGGTTTAAATTTAAATGTTTGCCTCTGTGATTTTTTCTAACCATGCTGACTGAGCAACATCTAGAGTTGTTTTCTTGACAAATCAATTTCTTAACCTTCCCAAGTCTGTCTCATGTTTTAATTCCAGCTGGCTCAGCTCCTCAGACAGACAGGTGATCTGAGAAAAAAACCCAAATCCAGAAAATTTCATCTATCTTACTATGCCCATGTATCTTCATTGTTGTGTCCAAACTGCTTGTCCCTTGAAATAGGACAGAGCTACCTTTGGAGAGTTTGGAGAGTTTCTCGCTTTAACAACTTGAATAAAAACCCTAATAAACCTAATCCTGATGGGACAATCTGCAAAAACAAACAAAAAAACCCCGCAAAAGAACATTTTAGGACACCAATATCTTCTAATTAAGTTTTATTACAAAAAGAAAAATAATACTAATGTAAAAAAAAAGAAAAAAAAACCAAAAACCCACATCAATAACAACATATCCCTTTCCTTTTTATTTTGTTAAATTCAGTGGTAAATACCTTAATAAATAATATACATTTCTGAAAAAGTTTCCCTTTCACTCAGCCTGTCAGCAGTTTTAGATTAACCTTGGTGTGTCCTAGAAACATTTTTCCACCTTTGCTGAAAAGACTGTCACTTCCAATTTCTTTAATATCCTTACCTTACCATCCCAGAAAATCAAGTGTCTTCTTGGAGTAAATCCTCATATCTCATAAAAACTTGATTATACTTTAGTTATCTGCTGTAATTTTTTTTGGTAACAAATGGAAGACAGCCTGTTTACATTTAGTTTCGGAGATTTTGTGGAATTTTCATATAAAATAGAGTGGTATTTCTGCTCATATTTCAGCTATTCCTCTTATGAGAGTATAAAAATTGAAGCAAATTTCTTTTTGTCACTGAGAATGTATTTCCTCTAATCCTTCCCACCATTTACTTCACTAATATTGCTACTACACACACCCCAGATAACTTTTTACTCATAGATTCCCAGCTGAAGGTAACTTGAGAGTCTAGTCTTCTAAGGTAGATGTACAGGAAACACCTGACATATTGGAACTGTAAATAACATGGATATGTTGCTTCAAAGTTATTTTAAAACACATATTGTTTGTGGTAATCATTAGGAAACAATCATTTTATCTGCAACTTACCAGATAAGTCTCATCTCAAGACATTAGTCTCATTTAAAAAAATGCTAAAACATTAACATATTAATGCTTATTATTTAAAGAGATATGGTTACTAAATTCCTTACCAGGGCTAAAAAGGACTATAGCTTTAAGGTATGCATATTCATATCCATCAATATCAAGCTTGGCCATGCTGTTACAGAACTCCTGAAGTTTCCAGATGTGTTCCATGACTTGCTTTATTCTGTCTCCAGAAAGTTTATCTGCAAAAAGATATTGCTTACTATTTCATGTGAGCTCAAGCACTTCTGTTATATCAACAAATACACTTTTATAAACCAAGTCAAGCGATACTTTCAAGTCTTTCTCTGTCTTAAAACCACTTAACATATAAGGACGGCCTAAATTATTATGGAAGCAAAGATTTATAAAGTTGAGTCAAACACAGGGCTAGCAAACAGAATGCTAACTCTTCTGTAATTTTGCCAAGATAGCATAATCTGCCACACCAATCTTTTTCCAGTGATGTACTGTTCTGAGCAGAGATTCTCAAATTATGGTGAATTATTCTACAAATGGCTAGAGTGATTCTGGGAACGAACAGAAGCACAAAACAAATGCTATCATGCAATCCTAATTTTAAATTCAAACAGTATTGAGTTAGATTTTCCAGAAGTGAATGCAAGAACAGTAATGGCTGTGCTACCTTCTCCTCCATCTGTACTTTTAGGAGCAAATTTTTCATTAGCTATGGAAAATAAGTCTTTTTTCCTTTTGATGGGGTAAATTCACTGAAATACATGTACACAGATTCTTCTATCATTTGAAAGATCACATTCCTTATGTTGGGTTCATATTCCTTCTTTAAAATTTTTATTTTAAAAATGTATCTTATTTATGGATAAGTTAGAAGTGAGTGGTATTAGCTGCTAAGCCAGGGAGGGACAGATTTCTGTTTTGGTCAATATACCTTCTCTTGGATTGCATATCTGCAGACTAGTCAAAGAATGAACTCATTAGACAACACATTAAGACAAATCTTTGAATATATAGTTACTACTATCAAACTTCAGAAGTCAGTCAGTTTGCAAGGGATAAAACCTTTTCTTGAAAAACACATTAGAATAATTTTATTCCTGTCATAATCTCCAATGATAGTGTTTCATATAATTTTAACTTAAATATTTTATCTTTGTTTGTACAGCTAACAGTATACATGATTGCTTAGATCCCGTGTCCCTTAAACTGAATCTTTGATGTAGTTTATTAGCATTTTAGCTACTTTCCGAATCTGCAATAAAAAGATTGAATGAATGAAAGAACCATTTTTTGCAGTCTTGAGATAAGAATAAAAGCACAATTTACATTTCTTAAATACATTAATTATGATACAAGTTTTTAGTTACTCAAGATGGATGAAGTAGACATGATGTAATGTTTTGTTTTACTCTTCTCAGTAAAAGTCTATTTACTAATTTTTGCTGTGCACAGTAATGACACTTCAAAAATTATTAAAAAAATTGGTACAAAATAGTATTCTGTAACTATTTTTAACTCACATAAAAATTTCAGATAGTTTTCATGTAAAGCTGGTAGTATTGGGTTTTTCCTCCTATTAAAAGGGGAATATTATTTTCATCCTATTGATTGGAAATGTCCTTAAAGAAAAGAACCAAAAAAAAAGCAAATATAGCATTCATTCTAGATGTAATCATCATTATCAACAAGCCAACACTGAATTAAAAAATAATATTACACACATCTTCTTAAGAATGGCAAGAAAATAGGTTGTTTAATGCTTCAGGGGGCACTTTGGAATACATTAATCATCACTGCATTATAGCAGTATCCAAAACTGTTATATACTTGCAAGAATATACTCATTGTGATAATTGCCAAATGTTGTGGTTTTACACTGCAAAGAGGAGAAGGAAAGTTCTGGAAGGAAAAAGTCTGGTGTGGTTTGGAAGAAGACATCATTGTTCTAAGAGGAAAAAAGTACATCTGGATGCGAGGAAAGCTCTGTGAGCACATACGACTTTAGGATGTACTGTCTTTTTCTATAATGCCAATCAGGAGTAGAAGACCCTATTTCTTTTATGGACACTTCTATCCCACAGGTATCTCTGTGAGGTCAGTGCAACAAAATTATAGATCACCAGAAGAAAGCTAATTATGTAAGAGAAGGCTTCGCCTTCCCCTCGATCCTGGTGAACAATTTCACCACTGATTAGGAAACACCTCATGAGAAATGTTATACAAATCTCTGTATTGTTAGCAGGACTGAAAACATACCTTCTTGTATGCTGTTCTGGAGGTGGTTGACAATAGCTCCCAGGATGGTAGACAGGCTCATCACCTGTGCACACTGTGCCAGGCCTAAGGTAAACAGTTCATTCCAGCAGGCACGCACAAGGCTTGTGTTACAGTCTTGCCTGTGAACAGCAGAAAGTCACCTCTAGGTAGTTTGCATATCAGGTTGGTATTACCCTATGTGTAATTATGTTATTTATAACAATTAATAATATGGATTAATGCATTGCAAAACGTTTTACTAAAAGGCATGTATTAACATATTACTAGTATTTCAAAAAGCAAAAAGAAATTACATACAAACTACAGGAAACCATTTAAGGTTATCTGTGAAATGGTGCTCATCAGTTCTTTAGCAAGATATCAAAAGCAACCACCTAATTTTTACAAATTAATGTTTACTTTTGATTTGCCTTTAGTTTGTGTAACCACACAGATATTGTAACATCAGATATTGTAGTTATCCTCCCCTCTGCCATCTTCTATTTTATTCTTTGAAACAGAGAATATTGCATAGCCTTCACACAGTTTAAAAATGCATTAAAAATTAAACAATATCATAACTAAAAAATTCAAAATAGCTGAAAAGTGTTCAGATCAGTGCTTAAATTCATTCGAAAGCAAACCATTCAAACAGGATATGTCCACTTACCCAAGAGCTTGAAATGCTGGTATGGACCTAGCCCAGTGCATAGAGAGGAAGAGGAGTCGTGATGCTGACTCACAGATGTAGTGCACATTAAGGTACTCCGGCATCGGACTGGGCATTGTCAGCTGCAAAAAATACAAGTACAGCACAATATATACAGTTCAGACATAACCTGTGTTTTATTACCGATGAAATAACCAGCAAAACCATTCAAACTCACAGTCAGTCACAAGCAACTGTGTGACAAGAAATCGTTGGAATGAAAACTAGGCCAAATAACTCATTACTGTGGGCAAGGAATGCAAATTGGGAATAGGAAGCAAGAAATTATGTGTGAGACAGCTCATACATCTTAAGTGTTAGTTTGATGTTAGTAAGATGTTTAAAGAAGCACATACCTTAAATGTGACATGTGTATCTGTAAGTAGGGGTCCTTCCACTTCAATAATTGGTGTTGACTGATCTCTACTGATTACATGAATATTCCCTCCTCCTGTAGGATCCATCCCATCTGCCAAGGTATGAGCTGTTGTACCATCTGTGGTATTAAGTGCTTTAGCCAAAGTATCAAATGCCCTTAAAAAATAATAAATAAATAAACAATGAAAAAGCGCTTCCTTACACCATAAAAAAATTCAGAGTAGTGCTCAAATTAAACACTATAAGGCATTTCCACTTAGAAGTAACATACACAGGAACCGTTTATGCTAAGACACAAGTTCCAACTTTTCATTACAATCTGGTCCCTCTGTACTCTCTGGACATTAATAAAAGGAATAGAGCTGCCCACATATCACTGGTAAGAGATCTCCCCTGTAGGGGAGGATTTACTACTGTAAATCCTGTTCTGATAGTTTTATCCTAGTATTTGTACTAGTAAAGGGGTCTTGTGCTGTGCTGGTTTTGGCTGGGGTAGAGTTAACTTTCTTCTTTGTAGTTAGTATGGGGTAGTGTTTTGGATTTGTGCTGAAAACAGTGTTGATATTACAGAGATGTATTTATTATTGCTGAGCAGGGCTTGCACAGTGTAAAGGCCTTTTCTGCTGTTTGTGCCACCCTTCAGTGAGGAAGGTGGGGACAGGTGACCCCCACTGATCCAAGGGGTATTCCATGCTTATGATGTCATGCTCAGTAAATAAGGTGGGGGGATGTTTGGAGCGATGGCTTTGTCTTCTCAAATAACTGTTCCATGTGATGGGGCCCTGCTGTCCTGGGGATGGCTGAACACCTGCTGCCCATGGGAAGCAGGGAATGAATTCCTTTGCTTTGCTTATGTATGTGGCTTCTGCTTCACCTACTGACCTGTCTTTATCTCAACACATGAGTTTTCTCACTTTCACCCTTCTGATTCTCTCTCTGATCCCACTGGTGGGGGAGTGAGCGAGTGGCTGAGGGGCTTAGTTGTTGTCTGGGCTTAAACAACAATTCTTTTGCACTTACAGTTCACTATGCCCCCCTTTCTCACCTTCTCACACACTAGGTGAGGATTACAAACCAGATGTACTCTGGAGAACAGAATCCCTGTCCTTGTCCCTGTTCTTGATGTCCAATTTTTTTGAACAGCGGAGAATAATACGGTTCTCTTCTAGACAACGCGCCTGAATTTCTTTCCCTTAAGAAGAGATATGGGCAGGCACTTCTGATCTCACAGTACAGTCAGAGCCTTAGAACCCTTATGACAGTAACACGAGAGTCTGGTCCCCGGACTCCTTTATACTCACGCTGTTGTTGGATCAGTGCCCAAATAAAGCACTGTGAATTCCCTTAGGATAACAGAGTTCAGATGTAAAGAAAAATTCTGTGCTCCAATTTCATACCAGTGGACAGTATTACAGTATAGTGCTGTTTTGCCACTATTTTTATCAAGACGTTTCAGGGACGGTTTTTTGGAATTTTTTTTTTTACTTTAAAGAAAGAGTACAAGGTTGACAAAGTCGAAGTTGCAGTGTCTGGTATTTTTAAATATCAATCCACTCACTTGAAGAGTATAAATAAAAGACTTAAAAGCCTTAGTTAAGCTCCTCTTAAAAATCTTCTTTTTGAGAAACAATGGACAGCTATAAGGCCAAGTATTTTTTCTTATTTTCCTATACTGTTAAATTCAACCTAACCCCCACTCCCCCGCAAAAAACCACTCAACAAAAAAGCCCCAGCCATGCAAATTCAAGCTCTGCTGGAAATTTTAATATTTCATTTTCCTTTTTCACATTTTTTTCATTAATAAAGACAACAAAGACTTCAAACTCTTTCTAAACCTATATTACTAGCAGGTTTTTTGGCAGTACAATCTCAAAAATAAATCTGCAGTAATAAAGACCCCTAAAGAGCAGAGCTAAGGGCATGAGCATTGCACAGAAGAACCTTACATAAAACATGCCTATGAAATTAAACAGCACTGAAGTGTTGCTATTCTCAGAGTCTTTCACGGCCACAAACTAGTAATTCATTACTTTTCTGAGAATGAAATCTGAGCTAGCTTCAGAACACTATATTTGTAATGCAGGACACAGTTCTTCACAACAGGACAACAGCCAAACTTGATTTCTAAAGAATCAGTTTTGTGTTTCAAAGTAGGGACAATCTGTACTTTATCTGCTGTCACAAAACCAAACTCCTTCAGCGAATGAGTGTAAGGATACATCATATAGAACACAAATTGTTAAATAAAATGCAAATATAATGCATACCGTGTAATCTCACTTGCGGACTGCTCTTCTTGCTGAACTTCAGAAGTATCTCCATTATTTAGTGACTCACTCAGATTAGCAAGAGATGTTACAACATTTGCTAGTGTTCCTAAAGCACCCTGGCTTGTTTCAGCCTAAAAAGGAAGAGTAATATTAGTAGATAAAAATTATAGTTGATGTATCATATATAAATTCTTCCCATTTTTAATCTTTTTGCATTTTTTCCCTTATGTACCTTTTCCTTCCTCCTGAACGCCTACAGGAAGAACAATGGCTTTCAATGATCTTTAAATCCTACTGTAATTATCAATCCTAGTCCCAGAGGAGGTATCATAAGGGAAACTACCTGTGGTTGACCTTTTGCAGAAATATGCTTGTGAAAAGAAACCATGTTCCTATTGATCAGTTTATTACCTCCCTTTGTAAAGCTCTTTGGACTTACCACGACCTCTTCTCAAGAGCAACAACTATTTAAGTCTACGTACAATAGCTAAAATAATCTAAGCAAATTAATATGTATGTTCAGAACTGAACTGAAAGAGTAATACCTTGGAATCAGCAGCTAGGAGGACTGTACCATCATCCCTGATCAAAGGCTGCTGAATATTCACAAGCATTCCAGGATCAAGAAGACCTGCTGACCTGTTCAAAAGCATAAGGCATCTGATTGTCAATAGTATTTTACATTAATCAGAAGAATGTGTAACTATCTATGACAGAATAAAACAAGTTTTTAAATTAACAATTTAATGAAGCTCACAGTTTATTCATCAGGACTTCAGTCTTTCTGAAACAGTTTCCAAAAAGTAGCTTGAAAGACAGAAAGACTGGAATATCTTTTCCTTTCCTGTGCAAAAGCAATGACAACTTCCCAAATACATATCCTCTCATTTGCTTTGTATTCTGGTTTATTCTGCTTTAAGAAAAGTTGTCTTCTCATGCTCTCAGAAGTTACCTAGCAGCTCTCAAGTTATACATTACACTTTGGAGGAAGGCATAACTGTGCATTCCAAGTTAGACAATGGACAGCACTGAAGAAAAAGAGTCATGAAAGTATATTTTACATTCCAAAATACAGTTAAAAACAATCATGTAATCAAGGTCCGCATAAAATCTCTGCTGCCTTTACTTCTGCTACATTTTGATCAAACATCCTTTCCCTTTGCTGTATCTAATTTAGGGAGACAGCGGAAAGTCTTTGCAAGAAGTTTATTTGTTACTTAAGTGATGCTCCAAGTCTCCATAATACAATACCAACGCACGCAACACAGGTTCAGGCTGCAGCAAGTTATAGTGAATGAGCACAGGCTGCAAATTATCATGCGTTATGAAATCTGAATCCTACATAAATAACAGTTGTACTTAATGATTATAATATTGTTTATAGGTCTGTAAGGGATCTGTAGCATAAGGAAGTCTCAAAGAAGCAAATGTGTCTGTGAGCACTTTTAAATAATCTGACTTGCAAATGAGAACACTGAAAAACCATTCTTCAAGAAATCTGCAGCCCAATCTTCTTAACTGCAGTATCACCAATCTTCTTAACTGCAGTGTCATTTGTTCAACAAAAAATATATATATATAAAATTAAACAATTATATATATATGAAAACTGAATAATAAGATCCAATTTTTTAGGTAGTTCTTAACCATTTGTAAACTACAGTTTTAGAAATGTCATATTTAACCTAGAGTTCTTTTTTATTCTATTCAGAAAGAGACAAATCTTGCTTCTGTAATGATGTGCATTTCCCCGCCCACCGCCTTTGGAGACATCTGAGAGTGCAGGAACCATCTTGGAGCATCTCCCACATAGTAAAAGGAAGCTGCTGTTGTTTTGCTGTTGTTGAAAACAATCTCTTGGGATCGGAATCAGCAGTCACTGCAGTCTCTTTTAGTACCGTCTTTAGGAGAAGGAAGCAAGGAAGCCCAAGTCTGCCACTAGCAGATCTGATTTCAGAGAAGTGCTAACCCAAACACATCACAGAATTAGCCCACATGCTTTTTGCCTAAATATCATTTACTTGCCCTGCCTTTGCTCTGACCTGGCTGGACAAGTGCCAGCTCTGAACTGAAAACCATACACTTGTACTCAGACATAAAAACTTCCATGAAAAGCAGAACCTAAATTGGGCTTGGTAATGGAAAAAGATGATGTATGAATTAGAGCTCTTCTCTGTCCAATTCTTTAGAGTAGAGGGGAAACAAAATACATATGTGAATGCGAAGTAATATACACAAATAACCTGGAAGAAGACACGTGCAGCTGAGGTACTCACCGCGTCCCATCTTTATCTGCCACAAACGTTGGAGTTGCTATAAGAGGGCTTCGCAGATCCTTTCTTATATAGATTTTTTCAGTAGAAGCTGCACAGTTGGTTGGTTTTTCACGTTGCACATCGAAAGGCTTTCTTTCACTTTGAACCGCTACATAAAGACAGAAACATTCAGATTTGAAAGGAAATAACTCAAATGAAAAATACAAAAAGAAAGTAAAATTCTTAGTTATGATGGTGTACCAGCTCAGTGCAAAACTAGAAATTTAATACAAAGAGTGAAGAAACACAGGTTCCAATTTTACTCTGCCTGTGAATATGTGTATTTTAAACTAAGAATGTCACAGATTGATCTTTTGTTTGAAGTTTTGCTGAACTGGAGTCAAATCTTGCTATATTTTTTGCATTTAGTAAGATGGAGTATTCTACCGATTTCAATTTGTTTAATTATCTGTTTTTTATCTGTTTTTTACAGGGAAAGCTATACCTAAACGTTAGCCACATTCCTACTCTGGATGACTCAAAACAATGCAAATCCAGAACTAACCCTGAAAAAGTCAAGACAGGCAAGTTCTGAGAGAGATGTTAGTTAATTCCCTGACAGTCTCTGCATATCATCCATTCATTCCACCCAGTTAGGGAACAGTGTTCCAAAACTAACCCTTTCATAATTTATAATATTTCTACTTGATAATTAAAAGAAAATAAGCTCAGTTTCCAATGTGCTGAACAAGTGCAGCAAATTTTTAACAGAAATAGTAAGAAGCAGTAACTTTGCAATTTTAAAGAAAAAGTGCATCTTTATAATATAAAAGTACTATTATTAAACATATTACATAAAGTTATCTGAAATCTAAGTCACTGAACTTTACAAACTCTTCTATAACTTGGCATAACATTTGACTGCATTGATTTTTCACCTAAAAATGAGGATGCAAAAATGAATAATAGACTACAAGGAAAATATAAAAAATTTTTAAGTCTTGTATTAATATTAATTCTCACAACACTATGCCAATGTAAGGCATAATATAAATGGAGACAATATTTCTGAGCTATTCATTATACCAATTTATCATACAGCAGTGATTGCTCTGGAAGATTAACATTATTAACAGAGAAACAAAAATATGCAACCCTCCTCTATAGCCCTTTTGACTGTAACATTAAAATGCATGGATACGTCTCTATCCTCATAACCAGCAAGAGTTATTTAGTTCCTATTTTTGTTAATATTTTTACCATTAGTAAAATTTAGGAGCTTAAAAGTAGATATATCAATTTTGTTGGCTTGGTGGATACATAAATATTCATCAGAAACCTGACCCAAAGCCCAGTAAAGTCAGTGAGTATATATCATAATCATATTGGGATAAGAAAGGGTTAGTTTCTGGAACTGCAGCAGTTTCTCTTGTACAAATGCCTTCTCCAATATTCAGTACAGTGTGTGCAAAGCGGAACAATCACCACAACAGGTCTGGAGTTCCAGAGTGCAAATACAAGTATCTCTTTACTTAAAGCTTAAAGTTCTGCCTCCCTTGAACTTGGTGGTTGGAACTTATCCTGCCTAGATCACATCACAAAACAACGAGACAATAGGTTTCATGAAGCGCTGAACTGAAGAGGCAGAGCTGCTACAAACTGAAAACAAAATACATTGACAGAGGCATTTGGCTGCTAGCGCTGGAAATGCACGAGGCACTGCATACAAACAAGCAAGCTATTTTTTAATATATGACAGTTTATACAATGCCTCATAACCCCATACTCACAAATGACGAAATTAACATAAAAATTTAAAAAGCAGGGGAAAAAAAGGACATTAACTACTTTCTATCACTGGTTGAAAAAGCCACAAAATCAAACCGTAAGGAAAGCAGATTCTTGAAGTGGAACATTAGACCTAGATTTATGTCAATCCATATTAAAATATTTTGTATTATAAACATACACAGTGTTTTAACATGCATTCTGAGTGAGGCTCTAACTGGGCTCCTCAAAGACTACAGTTGTTTGAAACAGTTTGAAACAAATCACTACTGCACCTCAGACATAAAATGGTGACAAAAGAAAGGTGCTGTAGGTGCTCTGGCTGCCAAAAGTTCTGCTTCCTTCAAGCAACATACACCAAAACGAAGAGATACATACATACAAAAAGGTGGTAGCCCACGTATTTTTTATTTGGTAGGCACAGTATCACATTGAGTACTTAACACTCACATTCCATTTTCATGCCCATCTCTAGACATTTCTTAAGCCTACAAAACTGGCAGCGATTCCGATGGTGTTTATTGATGATACAGTCCTGGTTGCTACGACAACTGTAGGTCAAATTCTTCCTTACACTTCTTTTAAAGAAACCTTTGCATCCCTCACAACTGACAGCACCATAGTGACGACCTAGGAAACACATATATTGTTATCAGATGGAAATTACTTATATTTTAGCATAGAAATATTTATTTTAATCAAGTAAATCATTGTAAGTCACCCTTTAAATTTCTTTTGTATTTGTACAATCATTTTGGACCATGAAAGCATTCATAAAGTCTCACAGGATGTTTCTTGTTTAACTACTGTCAGAGTTTTTTGCTGAGAGAGTGGAGAGAAGAGAGGAAGGCTAAGCCTAATTCTGAATGTGTGGTCTATAAAGTTGTAGTTCCTGTTCTGGACAAGTACAGATGTAATTCTACCTGCTGTTACAGACTATGGGATATATTTAAAGAACATACAGTCCAAAAGTTCAAGTAATCTCAGAATATAAATAATTTTACAACAAAATTTGAAATGCAATCTTCATTTAGATTTCCTGTACATACCAATTCTGGTATTGTTTTAATTATATAAACACTTAAAAAAATTAAAGAAAGTGAGGCAAAGAGACAGAAGAGTGTCTTCTCTGTAGCATGAAAGCACAGTACACTTTCTTGACTAATACAGAAATTTTACCTCAGGACTCCTTGTAACTGCATGGACCTGAAACACCGAGGATTCATGTGATCTTTACTTGCCTTTTTCTGTGATAGTAGAAGAACAAAATCTACCAGAAAGCATTAAGCTTGTTGAGAGCACTAAGAAGTGTTTTCTCAGAGTAGCTAGGCTTTTGTAGGTGACAGGTTTATTTCATGGTTTCCCATCACTGCGCGGAACTTGACTAAATGCTTCAAGGAGTCTTCTTCCATTAGCAGGAGCTATTTAATCATTATTTATCAGACGCTCCAGTTGAAGGAAAAGAACAATGTTCTTCCAAGCAGAGTTTAACTATCTTGTGTGTATAATACAAAGTATGTTATCTTTTTCCATTGAAAAACTCAATTCCTTTTGCCATCAGCATGGCTAAAATCAGTTAAAACACGCAAAAAATCATCTCTTCATCCCAGTCATCCTTCCTAGCAACTTTCTTCAATACTACTTTCTATGCTTCCTTACCTGATGCTTTATCGCCACAGACTACACAATATTCTACTACCTGGGGCCGCTGAACATCAGTTTTTCCCAGCAAACGTTCCACTGAAGCAGAGTCTGTCACTATCTAAAGCAAAATTCCAGAACAAAAAGACATAATTAGCCAGACATGAAAGTAAGGAGCTTTGCCTACAGAACAAGATCAGTGTATCAGCTGAGAAGAGGTGACTAAATTTTAGAACTACATATGTAGCATAAAATGCAATTTAATGAGAGGTTTTACTGTCAATGCTGACACTGTTGAAACGGTCATATCAAAACAAATTCCAAATAAAACTGGTAGTTTTGTTGAGTCTAAAGGAGTTTCCTCACTTGTGCAACAGTATTTTTCCCTTCTTGCAATTGCTGTCAAACAGCTGCTATATTTTAGCCAGAGATGGTTGGCTTTCAGATGCTGTTTCCATGTATCCCTTCTCTAGCTATTAGGGGCATGTGGTTCAAAGGGGATAGCCTGAACCTGAGATCTATTATAGAAACAGTTTAGCTTCCAAAGGCCTTCGATTCCAAAACTTCGGTTCCAAACGTTCCACTTAACACAGAAAAATTAAAAAACCCCACCCCTCTACAATGTCAAATATCCTATTTAGCATAGTAAAATAAAATTTAAAAGACTGTTACTAGAATTTTTAAAATATTTACGTACAAATGATTCTTCTTGCTGTAAAATATTCTCTATTGTAACAGTAGCAATAGGGACCACACACTTCTTTTTTTTTATTTTTTTTTAAGACTGCTAGGAAGAAATCTCAAATTTCACTAGGGGTAGGTAGATTATTGTTTATATCATTGGCTTTGCAAAGCTCCAGTTGGCCTAGATCATGCTCAAACCCCACAAAAAAGCATAGCAGAGCATAGCTTCTGCTCTAAATAGTGTCTTGATACTGAATGTACAAGTATGAACTCACGTAAGTTTGCTCAGCTGAGTTGTATCTCTGTATATCTGTGAATATTGAACAGACTAAGAAATCCTGTCACTTAAGCACTATCTTAAGTATTCGCTTATGTCTTTGGAACTTGAATTAGAACAGACAATGAGGGGTGATGAGTGCAATAAGGAATGTGAAGACAGAAGAATTTATGATTGAATAATGAAGCCTACAATTATTATTGTTTAATCCATGTCATTAGATCTTTAGAAAACCATTGCAATTGGTCTTAAAGCAAATACAGACTTAAAAAATCTAGAAACCAAGAATCTCAATTACCATATTTACCTGAATTCTGCCTGGCACAATGTTGTCCGTGGTGGTAAAGATAAGCTGTTTGGCATTAGATGTCTCAGGTGCTGCCAGTATCACCTTTCCGGCACCAGTTCCATCTGGACTGGCTAAAATAAACTGTTGCTTTGGAGACACGGCGGAATCCACTGCTGTCACTATTTGAATTTTCTGACCTGTTTGCTGATCTGTCACAATCTGTAAAACACATTAAAGAAATGCATGAGTGCAGTAAGCTTTACGTTTTAAAACCTTTAATTCTCTCTCAAAATTATATCCATGAAAAATTACAAGGAAGCTCTCTGAATTTTCTTCATAGATGTCACCAAGGAGATGTTCTCCAGTCATCAACAACATTTACCTATGTATTTTATCTAAGATGTTACTCCTTAAAGTTATCAACAAAAGGTGGAATTAGGCAGCCTTATTGTTTCATGTGCTGATTCTCAAGATTCTCTTATGGTGGAAGGTTTCTATTTTTGATACAGTTGTCTGGTACCATAATCTCTATTTTGCCTGGTAAAGTAACCATATCAACATTCATCAGTATTTCATTAACACTTAACAAGTTCTATCTCATTTGCCACTGCATACATTGTGATACATTAATGGCATCTTTATATTATGTACCAGTAACAATGACCCACTGTGCAGCATTCTCAAAGGCTAACTTCATGTTAAATAGATAATCTCCCACTGGCTACTAAATGAGTGGGAGGAGGCATGCCCTTAGAGATGACCTCAGGTGTTCTGTTGACAATGTCTGCCCATTTGCTGTGGCTAGGGCTCAGGAGATTTGTACATGTAGGCTATGTTTAATCTCTGTAAATACTCCTCACTGACTACATTATCAATATAACTATTATATACAGCCAACTAGTCATCACCACATACATGTTGAGGGAGAAAGAGAATTTTAGTTTGCATTTAAAATTATCTGTTCTCACAAAATTTAAGGGAATATTCCATAGACTTTAGCATTCTTTTGTATAACCCTAAGTGGGAGGAGGAGAAAAAAGGAGAAAATGTAATAGTTAATTAATAGATTTTTACCTGAATGCGTTGTTGTGAAGCTACAGAGGAGTCTGTGGAAATTATCTGGATACGCTGGGAAGGGCTGGTCATCACTGGAGATTCAGATAGCGAAGTCTGAACAGTCTGCACCTGTAAATAATACACAGAATTTTAATCTACTGTAAAGGTATTGAACACTTTTAAAAATACATATATTTATTAAAGAACAGATGGACCTATAGCATGGAATCTAAATTTATTGGAAAGGTTACAACCATTAAATGAACTTGGATTTGTTTTCAATGAATTATCAGAATATTTTTTTTTGGAAAAAAAAATACATCGTATACAAATAATGTAAAATGTTAAGTATTTCCCCTTTTAATAATTTTGAGGTATTTTATTGTGACAGAAATTCAATTTGGCATTACTACTGAATACTATTGTTTCTTGTTCTATTCCATATCTTTCTAGAGCCTGAAACTATAATGCAAATCTAGCTCTGAATAACTAGAAAAAGCTTGACAAAGATGTTTTGCATAGCTGTTTTCAGAGCAGAACTGTTAAATGATGAATTAAACAGGCAAGATAACACTGGCTTCCATATTCTGTTTACAGAACACAGATGTAATTGGCCATGTACTAGGGAAAATGAGGGAAGTCTCCAAAAGGAAACAGGAGACCTGGAAAAGGCTGAGCTACTCGATGACTTTTTTCTCAGTCTTCACCAGAAAGTGCTCCAGCCTCATGGTCCAAGTTGCAGAAGGCAAAGGCAAGGATTGGGAGAATGAAGAACCACATACTGTAGGAGACCAGTTTGAGACTATCTGAGGAACCTAACGGTGCCATGGGTCCTGATGAGATGCACCTGTGGGTCCTGAGGGAATTGGTGAATGAAGTGGCTAAGGTACTACTCTTATTTAGTAAGTCATGGCAGTCCACCGAATTTTATACCGAGTGGAAAAGCAAAGACGTAACCTCCATTTTTAAGAAGGGAAAAAAGGAAGACCTTGGGAACTACAGGCCAGTCACCTCCATGTCTGGTAAGATCAGGGAGCAAATCCTCCTGGAAACTACACTAAGGCACATAGAAAATAAAAAGGTGGTTGGTGACAGCCAGCCTGGCTTCACTAAGGGCAACTTGTGCATAAGAAATTTAGTGGCCTTCTACAATGGGATTATAGCCTTGGTGGAAAAGGGAAGAGTGACCGACCTTATCTACCTGGAATTGTGCAAAGCATCTGACACTGTCCCACATGACATTCTTGTCTGTAATGTGGAGAGATATGGATTTAACAGATGGCTCATGGTGAATAAGGAATCGGCTGGATGGTCACACTCGAAGAGTTGTGGTCAGCAGCTCGATGTCCAAGTGGAGACCGGTGATGAGTGGCATTCCTTGTCAGTACTGGGACTCGACATTTTAACATTTGTCAGCAACATGGACAGTGGGATTGACCACATGCTTAGCAAGTTTGCTGATGACACCAAACTGTTCGGTGTGGTTGACATGCTGGAGAGAAGAAATATCATTCAGAAGGACCTTGACAGGCCTGAGTGGTGAGTTGATGCAAACCTCATGAAGTTCAACAAGGTCCTGCATCTGGGTCAGATCAATCCCAAGCACAAGTACAGGCTGGGCGGAGAACGGATTGAGAGCAGCCCTGAGGAGAAGAACTTTGGGGTGTTGGTGAATGACACATTCAACGTGTTTCAGCAACGTGCACTCACAGACCAAAAAGCCAACCGTATCCTGGGCTGCTTCAAAAGCAGTGTGGCCAGCAGGTTGAAGGAGGTGATACCATCCCTCTACTCCACACCTGTGAGACCCCACCTGGAGTACTGCATCCAGCTCTGGGGCCCCCAGTATAAGGAGGACTCGGACCCATTGCAGTGAGTCCAGATAAGGTCACGAAGATGCTCAGAGGGCTGAAGCACCTCTGCTACAGAGGATGAGAGACTTGAGGTTGTTCAGCCTGGAGAAGAGAAGGCTCCGGGGAGATCTTAGAGCCCCTTCCAGTGCCTAAAGGGGCTCCAAGAGAGCTGGAGAGGGACAAGGGCCTGGAGTGACAGGATGGAGGGGAATGGTTTTAAGCTGAAAGAGGGTAGATTTAGATTGGATATTAGGAAGAAATTCTTCCCTGTGAGGGTGGGGAGGCCCTGGCACAGGATGCCCAGAGAAGCTGTGGCTGCCCCATCCCTGGCAGTGTTCAAGAACAGGCTGGATGGGGCTTGGAGCAACCTGGGATAGGGGAAGGTGTCCCTGCCCATGGCACAGAGTTGGACTAGATGATCTTGAAGGTCTCATCCACACCAAACCATACCATTCTGTAATTCTGTGATCTGCAGTAACGTGTCAAAACCCAGGAAGCTCACAAGTTGTTTTTATTAAATCCTCTGTTAAACAATCTTGGAATGATTTGTTTATCAAAATCTATACAGCTGGACAACAGGGTAGTGTCGATTTAGGTTTGCTTTGAAAAAATCTTTTTTTAATATACAGAAAAGTTCATTTTTGATGTAAAAAAAGAAAAAACAGTTTGGACAGCAAGGAACCTGTACTGCAAGTCTCTTTGGGAAAGCAGAGGTGTTAAAATACATGGCACTTAATGAAAACATACCCTTCTACTCCCCTATTGCCTGTACCATAAGCAGTCCGATATAGTATAAAAGTCTAACCTAACTTGAACATACCATCTCTAATTATCTTTAATACACAGGTCACAAAAGCTGCACGTTAAAGGAGGAAAATACACAGGAGAGATGCAGAAACAGCAGAATCTTCTAATTATTGGATGATTCAAAGCATTCACCTGCAGAAAACAAGATACCTAGGCAAGAAAAAAACCAAAACTTCCAAAATCAAGACTCTTAGAGGACACATTTAATCAATGATCTTCTTGTCTTCCATGACAAGTTATTAACTAAGCTACATGCTCTTTAAAAGGACTAAATTAGAACAAGAATATATTTTAAAACTGTTCTACAGTTCTTTGCCTGCAATTGTAGAAAAGTATCACCAGCAACAATTTCATATGCTGAAGTCTATATAAATTAATAGTGATTTGCTTTAAATGACACAGAAGATCAGAACAAAGCTTAAGAAATATAAAAATACACTTAAAAACATACGTATCTACCCTTTTTATCATTAAATTAAAACCAAGTATTTGGCAACTAGGTGCATTTTGAAGACTAGCACAATTAAATTTGGCTTCTGTTTCATCTATTAATAATTTTCTCATTTCATATATATATATAATTGCATAGTTACCTTATTTTTCCTAATTTTTTGCAGTTTCTACACTTTCATTGGAATCGTATTAAGTTTCCAATAGATAGTTATATACAAAATATATATGTATATATAAAACCGGCAGATTGAAGCTAAGCTTCTCCAGACATTTCATTATTCTTATGTCATTTGAAATAAATAAGGTTTCTTCATGGCCATATAATTGTTTGCATACTAATTTACTGATTTGCCCATCACATATATATACATCTATGTGCATGTTTGTATGAACATATGTATATATATAATACATTTCTGTACTTACTAACTAAATTTTCAACACTTTCTGTAGTTTATTTCCCAACCACCACACTGATTATGAAAGGAATATTTGAGCAATAAATTGAAGGAATAATCAACTGGCCACATTGGGAAGGAATTTTTAAAGTCTCTAATCTTTTCTAACAAGTAGAAACACATTTCCTATATTCACACCAGTAAAAGCCAAAGTAATTGTATTGCTTGAATACACTGGTCTGTTCTCACTAAGTGTAAATCAATTTCAGAGATACTGATTTCTATTCTCTCTTCTATAATATTAATAAAGTAAGGCATAGTTAAGCAAACACAGACTATTTTTAACTGCACCCATGAAACAGCTAAAGAATTTCAATGAAAAATATGGTATCAGGTTTTATACCTGCATCTCAAATCAAATCAGAAAGACTTTTTTTTCTATACATATTTTTCCTAATTAACTTCTTTAGCTATTAAATTAATAACAGGCTTTTACAAAAAAATGTATATTCAAATGTATTTCTTTCACAGATGTAAGATATATCTAAAAATGTTTCAATGATTCTCTTTGGAGAAGAGAATATTCTGACCACTAAGGTCTTTTCTAGAATGGTAGATAAAATTCAATTCCCCATAGAAGAGCTCTAGTTTAACTGCCCTAGCAGGATGG